ACCCATGTGAACAGGTGAAGGATGGTTCTGCTGTGCAGGATTAACAGCTGGGGAAAGGATAGACTGTGTTCTGGGCGTCCCACAGTTTGAGTACAGAGCTGTAGATATGAGGAGAGGGTACGGCATTTGAGTTAGATTAACGTACACCTGGGTTAACACACATTGTTTCAGTGTTAAGGAGCTTGGGAGGAGGATTCTGTGGGAGATAGGATGGGATCCAATTAATGATTTAAGATGATGGTAACAACAGTTGTGGAAAGGTTGGAAGAGGGAGAATAGAGGGTCTTGGGGAAATGATAACTTGAAGAACATGATGACAATAAGAAGGGAAAAATAAGGCAGATATTCAAGAGTTTTGTTTTTAAGTTAAATAAATAATGTAACAAAATGAACCTGGATGTTATTCTCAACTCTATGCCAATCGGTAGTCATTTGAGCTTCCTGAATTAGTATTATTATCCTCATTTTGCAGATGAAAGGAGCCCTGGTGGCACAGAGGAATCATCACTGGGCTGCTAACAGCCGGGTCAGTGGTTCAAATCATCAGACACTCCATGGGAGAAACATGCAGCTGTCTGTTCACATAAAGATTTAGTCTTGAAAACCCTATAGAGTGTCACTGAGTTGGAATCACCTCAATGGCAGTGAGTTGGGTTTGGTTTTGATTTGCAGATGAGGTTGCTGAGGCACTGGAAACGTACATGCCCAAGGACTCTGGCTGTGAGGATGCACACCCAGGTGGTGGACTCCTGGGACTCAGCCCTTTCCCATCACTCCATGCCATAGTGGAATGTTCAGAAGTGAATGTCACAGTGAGCCCACACTTTTTCAAGTCTGAGTGGCTGAAAAAATGCCAATGCCATGATGGCATGTGATCCATGAGCTCCACAGAACTTTCTTTATGGAAGAAATCTTTACAGAAGCAGACGGTCAAGACTCACCTGCAGCACCACTTGGTTGGTTCAAATCATCAATATTTTGTTAGCAGCTGAGCTCAGGCCATTCATGTGTCATAATGGAATCGTGGTGTGGTGGTGGTGGTGATTATGTGCCATGGAGTCGGTTCCAATTCATAGCAACTCTGTATAGGGTTTCCGAGGCTATACATCTTTATGGGAGCAGAAAGCCCCATTTTTCTCCCATGGAACGACTGGTAATTTTGAACTGCTGACTTTGAGATTAGCAGCCAGACTCCTAACCACTATACTACCAGAGCTCCTTTGTAATGGAGTAGAGATGTCAAATGAGAATGTTAGCCTATCAGAAAGAGGTTTGATTACAAATACATTTTATTTAAAGTACCAAGGAAAGCAGAATGTCCCATAGGGCATTAGAGCTACAGGACAGGAGTTTCACAAAGAACGGAATGTTACTGGTATACAGGTGACCACTGATGTTTGGAGACTGGATCACTTCAAAAGAATGTCACAAAGTGGAATCCTAGGAAACTGCTGCTGGTGGCTATTTTAACCAATAAAATGGAGATTTCATTTGATTTAAGGCTCAAGATTGAACCTCAGAGGAAGACCAGAGGTTGAGGTCAGGAAAGCAAGGGACTACTTGGGAAACTGTGAGGTCAAATAAGAGCAGGTGCCTGGACGGACAGGCAATGTCTGTTTCTTGATCTGGGTGCTGTTTGCCTCAGGCAGGTCCAGCTTGTGAAAATCATTGAGATGTCCACTCACAAAAATATATGCACTGTTCTGAGTGATGACTCCATTTCAGTAAAGAGTTTAACAAGTATTGCTGTATTACTTCATGTCAATGACCAACAGTGAGATCTAGTACATGTACCCTTACAAAGGTCATGCAAACAAATGAATGAAATAAATAATAGCTATACAATTTAAGGAGCTCTGATAGCATAGTGGTTACGAATCAGGCTGCTAACCTGAAGGTCGGCAGTTCGAAACTACCAGCGGTTCCACAAGAGAATGATGAGGCATTCTGCTCCCATAAAGGTTTACAGCTTCGGAAACTCTGTGCAGGGTCACTATGAGTTGGAACTGACTCCACGGTACTTAACAACAACAAACACAATTTAAGGAGTCCTGGTGTGGTGCTGTGGGTTAATGTACTGGACTGCAAAGTTGGTTTGAATCACAAGGTCAGCAGTTCAAGCTCACCAGTCGCTACTTGGAAACCTATACAGGGTTGCTATGGGACGAAACTGACTCGACGGCACTTAACAACATACAATTGAAAATGTTGATGGGAGTTCTCTGATGTTCCTGCATCAATCCATCCTCACACACACCCTGGTAGATTTGGAAAGAGCCACAGATAATATCAGAAGCCAGTCACAACGTTCATTAGGATGATAAGATGGTGAATGTATTTGTAGGGTAGAATCAGACAATCATGTCCTAGGCCAGAGCTTCAATATCCTTATCGCTTAGTCTTTATTAAAGGTTTGCAGAGATAAATGGAAAACAACACTCTAACCTCATGAAGAGCAAATTAAGAAGCAAGACTGCAGGGAATCAAATATGTTGTACTGACCTGTCATAAACACTTACTCATAAACAAGTAAACATACACCACACTCCTTTTACCCTCAGGTGATTCTGGCTTTTGGACTTCTAAATTCACTGTTTTCAGGGTCTACTTCTAGCTGAGCACCTTAATAGGAATGGAGGTTATAAGAGCCCTGCTATGAACCCAACAAGGAGGCTCAACTAGAAAATAATCCAGTTTTTCTTTCTGTCGGTCGTCATGGAAACTAATCTCAAATATTTCAAAGGCTGACTAATACTAAAAGGACAGCATTCTTCAAGGGCATCTATTCATTTGCTTCACATTTTAAAGGGACCAAAACCTGTGAACTTAACATTTTAATCTGTAGATTTTCAATAGATTTTCACTGGTTGAACAGGAGATATCCATGAAAACAAAATGCAGATAGCTGTTTGTCAGGAGAAAAAATTGACTTTTTTCCTTCAAGTATCTCTCAAAGATATATTCATACCCTATTTCTTACTCTTCAAATTTGTCTTAGAAGAAGTTGGACTGCTTGCTTCTTTGAAGCGATGATGGTGTGACTTTGTCTCACATATTTTGGACATGCTTTCAGGAGGTACTAAGGAGTTCTGGTAGCACAGTGGTTACGAATTGGGCTGCTAACCTCAGGGTTAGCAGTTCGAAACTACCAGCTGTTCCATGGGAGAATGATGAGGCTTTCTGCTCCTGTAAAGATATACAGCCTCGGAAACCCTGTACAGGGTCGCTATGAGTCAAAACCGACTCCATGGCACATAACAACAACACCATCAGGAGGTACTAGTTCCTCGAGAACATCATGCTCATTGAGGGTCAGTGAAAGGGGAAGATGCTCATCAAGATGCTTATGATTAACACTTTGCTGCAACAGGGAGCTCAAAAACAGCAACTGTGAGAATGGCACAGGACTGGGCAGTGTTTTGTTCTGTTGTGCATAGCACTATTATAAATTGGAACTGACTCAACAGCACCTAACAAGAACAAATCTCCTTCCAGTAGTGCCACTGCACTGCACTTTGGACCACTGCTTCTTATCTCTGGTCTTCCCAGAAGGGAAATTTTTACATCTGTAATTCCTGACTTTTAAAAAAAGGCTGCTCTTTCTATTCATGAGTCCTCAAGAGACATGCCTGAGAGGGTGCATTCAGTTTTAATGTGCACTTTTAGGTTGACCCATTTTACACAATCAGCTTTCTGGAAAGCTCTTGGGGTCTTATGTCAATTAAATTCCACTACCCGTTTCTCAAAGTTTAATTGTACAGTGTTGTCAGCTTCTTTTTTTCTTGCTGCTCCCCCAAACAAGTGACATAATCCTTTTGGAAGAAGAGTCAAGGTAGGGATTAGTCTGAAGCTTCCAATTACAGTTTCTGAGAGCTTTGTGCCAGCTGACGTAATTCTACCAACCGAGGCTCAGACACGTTCAGGACATGACCTGCCGAGCAGAGCATCTGTCAGCGCCAACCTGAGTGGGCTATTTAAAGCAGCTCTGTGGTGATGTGGAGCTGAGGCCTGGAGGCAGCGCCAGGGCGGTGGGGAGTACTTGCCCTGGGCAATGTTTGCAGATGGAGCTCAGGGTATCAGAAGCAAGAATGGGACAGGGTGAGGGGCCAATCATTAGAGGGTGACAGAGGATGCTGGCAGAGGCAGGCAGAGGCATCTTAATGAGAGGAAGGAGAATACCACTTGAACAAATAACTTCTCCTTTTCAACCCCAAAATAAGAAGGGCTGCTTGCATATATCATAACTGTGCTTACACAAACTTGGGGATGGCACACATTTGTTGTCTTCTCACCTTTCACATTTGCAGGCTGATGGGAATGAAAAGACACTTGGTTGTCGGTTTTTAAAATTTTAATTTTAGCTGTTATTTTAGCTGTCCAAATGTTCCTTCGACATCCAGTTAATATTATAAAACAGAGTTCCAGCTTTTGGAAGGAGATCAGGGTAAGATTCAGATGTGAGGCACTGTTTTTGGAACTGTATTTAAATCTTTATATTATTTGAGGACATACGTTCTCAGCCACATGGCCTCAGTTTTACTTGTTAGGATTCTCCCTATTGGGTTTAGCATACAGTTTTACAAGCTTCTAGAAAGCCTGTTCTCTTATGTCAGAAATAGACCCTGAGTCAAGAAGTGAGGTTTATAAAGGAAAGGCTCCAGGGAGACACCAGAAAGTGAGTGGGGGAAGTACAGAGAAAAGGGGAGTCTGGCAAGGGCATGATTTCAGGTGAAGTCCCAGATTCCCCAGGGGAATGCTAGCATGGAAGTTACTCCTCAGAATATGTCCTTGAGGTAAAAAGCTGGGTTTCTGGACTCCCAAACTTGTTGGTCACTGGCAGCGGGCAGGTGGGTATGCAGGTTCCAATGCCAGGTCACAGGTATGTGTCATCCTTTAACTACAAGGCACTCCGAAGCTTGGGGGAGAGGCACATGGAGCTGGGAAAAGAGACCCCACTGGATCTGGTGGCACACTCTTGCCACCACCCAGAGCTCCTCCAGTTAGGATTCTTTCATCATGTTCTGCTCCAAGAGGAAATGAATAATATCTTTGGAAAGTCCAGGGATTGGCTTTTCATCATCCAGAGAGACATTTCCTTCTCCCAGTGGGTAGAAGGAGACGTCCTTAGAATGTCTCTGTAACACAGAACAGCCATCCCGGTTGAAGATGACCTGTGCCATTTGAAAACTGCGGAGGGCATACTTTTGGCTCTCCTGGTCCTTCAGTTCAGCAGTTTTCTGAGACAGGCACTGGAACACAGATGTGGAGAGTGGGTTTCGGGATGCTGGTGGTGGATGGCCAAACAGTTCATAGAATTTATCCAAGGATTTCCGAAGTTCATCCTCCTCCGGGGTTTCTGGTTGGCTTTTCACAGAAGGGTCAAGCCAGGAGTTTTCAGAGATCCCGGCATCATTCTGTTCAGTATTTAGGTTACTGGTGTCTACAAGACAAACATATTCCAATATTGGATCACACAATCTAAAACACCAAAAAACTAGCCAAGGACAGAAGACACCTTTTTCCTCATCAACACGGTGCTACGTGGTACCCTGTGAAGGGCAGCACACATCCCATGAGGTGGCTGAACTGCAGCATCAATGGACTCCATGTGTCCAACCACCCTGGAGTCATGCCACCTGCTTGCTCACAAAAAGAATATTTGATTTACACGTATCAGAGGTTCTTTTTTAAATTTTAATTTTATTGTGGTGGGAATAGAAAAAAATATATAAGACAACACACTCAACTATTTCTACATGTACAATTCAGTGATACTGATTACATTCTTCAAGCTGTATTTCTCACTATCCATTTCCAATTTCCAATTCATTCTACCACCATTAACATAAACACAAGGTCCCCTAAACAGAAGCTATCTCTTCTCCCTTCCCTCCACTAGAAACCAATCTTTGGCTTCTAGATATTTGCTTATTTCACATAAAAGAGATCATACAGTATTTGTCCTTTTGCAAGTGATTTCATTTCAAAAAAGTATTTTGTTGTTGAGAATAAATAACAAAACATACGCCAATTCAACATTTGTTTCCATCATACAGTTTGTACAACTGTGTAACAAGATTATATCCTTGGAGTTGTATAATCATTCTCATCCTCCTTTTCTGAGTTGCTCTTCTGCTCTTCCCCCATTAACATAAACTTACTGCCCCCTAGCATCTGGAGTTACTCTTTATCAATTTGATCCTATACAGATAGTTCTTAAGGGAGCATTAAGCTCAAAGCAGATATTTTTTTACTAGTTAATAATCTAAGCTATCATTTGGTTTTAAGTAGACGTTAGGGATTTGTTTTTTATCTAAGTTTTAAAGATTATCTAAGGGCAACAGTTTCAGAGGTTCAGGAAGTCCAGAAAAACATAAGAATTTATCATTCTGTTTTTCATGGTCCCTCTTTTGAACAAGATTCTTCTATAAACTCTGATCAGCATGTACAGTAATGATAGCCAGGTACCATCATGGCAAAAGAGACTGTTGTTAATGGAGACAATTACCAACACATTCCATAGTCTCCTATTTCTGACTTTCCTTTCTCTGGTGCTCCAGGTGAATAGAAACCATTTGTTGTGCCTTGGATGGCACAACAATAACTGTCATTGCTGTAAATATATCTATCAACAACTTTGCCAATTCAACTTTTTGCAGTGTACAACTTACTGATAGCAATTATAAACTCATCTGTGCAACGCTAATCCTAACTGGTGTGATTTTTCTATCAACAGTAACTCTATTTTTCCGTTCCTCCCCACACTTAATGGTGTTGTTGTTGTTGGGTTGTACAGGGGTTCCAAGGAGCAGCTGGTGAGTTTGAACCTCCGACCTTGTGGCGAGCAGTCCAGGTCTTCTGGTGGGTGGTTTTGATCTGCATCACCCTGATGACTAGTGAGAATGAGCACCTTTTCATGTGCTTGGTGCCATGGGAATGTCCTCCTTGGTAAAATGTCTGCTCAAGTTCTCTGCTCATTTTTTGATTGTGTCATCTGTCTTTTTGTTGTTCAGTTGTAAAAGTTTCAGATAAGTATTCTGGATATTAGACACTTATTAGATAAGTAGTTCTTGGAAAAATTTATCCCAACTGAGAGATGTGTCTTCAATTTGCTGATAAAGTCCTTTGATGAATAAAACATTTAATTTTATGAGGTCCCAGTTACCTATTTTGTCTTTTGTTTTTCTGATAATGCATCAGAACTAATATGGATAGAATTGTTGTTGTTGTAATTAAGTGCTTTCAAGTCAGTTCTGACTCAAAGCAACCCTGTATAGGGTTTTCAAGGAGTGAATGGTGGGTTTGAACCACTGACCTTGCAATTAATAGTTCAGTGCTTATCCTACAGTGCCATACCAGGACTCCTAGGTAGAATTATGTATTGCAAATCTTAAACTTTCCACCTGTCGTTACAATTCTATTTGGGACTGGGTTGTGTTTGTTATGGTATAGCTTGTTTTAAGTCACTGTCTTTTCAGATGAAAGGAGCAGATTAAACAAGAGATAGTGAAAGATAGATTCCATGCCACAGAAAAATCATAAAGAGCTGAAGAACAGAAGCTGAAAATAGACAAGAACCTTTCCTCAGGGCAGACAGAGAAAGCCTTGCCGTAAATCAGACTTCTAGCCTTCTAAACTGTGAGGAGTCCTGGTGTGGGGTTGTGGGTTAATGCACTGAACTGCAAGGTCGGTTTGAACCACGAGGTTTGCGGTTCAAGTTCACCAGCCACTCCTTGGAGACCCTATACAGGATCGTAATGAGCTGGAACCAACTTGATGGCATTTAACAACAATAAACTGTGAGAAAGTAAATTTCTGTTTGTTAAAGTCATCCATTTGTGGTATTTCAGTTATAGCAGCACTAAATGACTAAGACAGTCACAAACAAGGTTCTACAGACTTGCCCCAATATTTTCTTTTAAGAATTTTATGGATTTAATTTCCATATTTAGGTCCTTGATCCATTTTGAATTAGTTTTTGTGCATGATATGAGGCATGGATCCTGATTCATTCCTCTGCATGTGGAAATCCAATTTTCCCAGCAACATTTACTGAAGGGTTTCTTACTTCACCTAGTGAATGGAGTTAGCTGTTCCACGGGAGAAAAATGAGGCTGTTTTCTCCCATAAAGATTTACAGTCTTGAGAACCCTATAGGTTTATCAGGAGAAGGAAGAAGTTCAAGCTGTATTGAAGGCACTGGCAAAAAACAAGACTCCAGGAATAGACAAAATACATATAGAAATGTTTCAACAAATTGATGCAGTGCTGGAGACACTTGCTCATCTATGCCAAGAAATTTAGAAGAGAGCTACCTCTAGGCAACCAATTGGAAGAGATCCATATTTGTGTCCATTCCAAAGAAAGGTGACCCAATGGACTGCAGAAATCATCTAACAATATCATTAAATACCACATCAAGTACAATTCTGCTGAGGATACTTTAAAGATGATTGCAGCAGTACATTGACAAAGAGCTGCCAGAAACCCGAGCTGGATTCAGAAAAGAATGTGAAACAAGGGATATCACTGTTGACATCAGATAGATCTTGGCTGAAAACAGAGAATACCAGAAAGATGTTTACATTCGCTTTATTGGTTATGCAAAGGCATTTGACTGTGTGGACCATAATAAACTATGAATAACATTGTGAAAAACGAACATTCCAGAACACTATACTGTGCTTATAAGGAACTTGTAGGCACCAACAGACAGATGTAGAAACAGGACAAGGGGATATCGAGTGGTTTAAAATCAGGAAAGGTGTGTACCAGGGTTGTATCCTTTCGCCATACTTATTCAATCTGCATGATTATCAAATAACCCAAGAAGCTGGATTATATGAAGAAGAATGTGACATCAGGATTGGAGGAAGACTCATTAACAACCTGCAACGATACTTACTGATGAATAGCAAAGACTACAGCCTTCAGTGCAGACTGTGCCTCAATGTAAATAAAATGAAAATCCTCACAACATTATGACTAATGGTGAAAAGACTGAAGTTGTCAAGACTTCATTTTTTGCTTGGATCCAAAATCAATACTCATGGAAGTTGCAGTCAAGAAACCAAGCGGCATACTGCAAAACCCCTTTAAAATATTAAAGAGCAAAGACATCACTTTGAGGATCAGGTATGCCTGATCCAAGCCATGGTATTTTCAATCACCTCATATACATGTGAAAATTGGACAATGAATAAGGAAGACCATGGAAGAATTCATGTATTTGAATTATGGTGTTGGAGAAGAATATTGAAAGCACCATAGACTACCAGAAGAACAAACAAATTCGTCTTGGAAGAAGTATAGCCAGAAAGGAGAATGGTTGAGACTTCATCTCTCATACTTTGTACATGTTGTTAGGAGGAAAAGTCCTTAGAGGACATCCTGCTAGGTAAAGTAGAGGGTCAGCCAAAAAGAGGATGACCCCAATGAAAGGGAATGACACAGAGGCAGCAACAATGAGCTCAAACATAACAACCACTGTAAGGATAGCACAGGACTGGGCAGTGTTTCATTCTGTTATGCAAAGGATTGCTGTGAGTCGGAACTGACTTGATGGCACCTAACAATGACAATAAAAACAACAACATGAGTCAGAATCAACTCGTTGGCAGTGGGTTTTGTTTTTTGGACTTTGCACATAGGCAGGTATTCAAAGAATACCTTTATAAGAAGCTATATTATAATTCATTACAAGTTACTACAAGACTTATGAAAGAATGTAGACAACCATGTCCCTTAATTAAGGTACTTGGAACCTAACTAAGATGAGGAGACATACCTCTAGACACTGTAATAATCATAGCATATATGTAAATACAGAGTGCTGGTGTGGCACTATGGTTTAATACACCGGACTGCAAGGTTGGTTTGAAATGCAAGATTGGTGGTTCAAACTCACCAACAGCTTCTTGGAAACCCTATACAGACAGGTTGCTATAGATCAGAACCAACTCAACAGCACTTAACAAATACGTAAATACACAATAACATTATGATATTAACTGGGTACTGTGTGTATTCAAAGAACAAATACAATACAAGGGAAGGAACACCATGCAGCAGAAGCAATGAGGGGTCCCTCTTTGGAAGAGTTACTTGCAGTCTTATTATAAAATGAATAATGGAAATAGGGAAGGAAACCAATGAACAAAGACCCAATGGCAAATAGAAGCAGAAACTGAACTATTCCATGACTGAGCAGCTGGCAATGCCTTTAGCAAACTGGGACCACGCTAGAGAAAGATAAAAGAATTCAGAGTGCTCAGAGAGTCTACTATGCCCACCTTACCAACAACAGTGACTAGGGTTATACCATTCAGTAGTGGGGAGAGTGTTACCACTACACTAGTTTCCAGTGTAAAATTAAGTCCCAGACCCCTCAACCATAAATCATGAAAAGAATACTCTGTTATTCCCAGAGCTTCTGCCCAG